AAAGATATGAAGAATCACTTGTTGACTTAACTAAATCTTTAGAAATTGAACCAAATGATTCATTTACATTAAGATATCGTGGATTATCTTATTATTATATAGGTAATTATAATGAATCACTTGCAGATTTTAACAAATCATTAGAAATTGAACCTGACAATGGACTTACATTAAAATATCGTGGAGTAACTTATTGTATAATGGAAATATATAAAGAATCACTTGCAGATTTGACCAAAGCGTTAGAAATTGAATCAAATGATGCATTTACATTAAGATATCGTGGATTATCTTATTACTATATAGGTAGTTATAATGAATCACTTGCAGATTTTAATAAATCACTAGAAATTGAACCCGACAATGGATTTGCATTAAAATATCGTGGAATAACTTATTGTATGATGGGTAAATATGAAGAATCACTTGCAGATTTAAATAAATCATTGGAAATTGAACCAAATGATGCATTTGCATTAAAAATTCGTGGAGCTACTTATCTTACTATAGGAAAATATAATAAATCACTTGAAGATTTGAATAAATCATTAAAAATTGATCCAAATGATGCATTTGCATTTCAAGTTCGTGGAAAAACTTATCGAATGATTGGTAAATATGATAAATCTCTTGCAGATTTAAATAAATCATTAAAAATTGATCCAAATAATATATTGGCATTAAATGGTCGTGGTACAACATACCGTATGATGGGAAGATATAAAGAATCACTTGCAGATTTCGATAAATCATTAGAAATTAGTCCAAACAATACATCGACATTGGATCAACGTAAAATAACTAACCGATTATTAAATAATAACAAATAACATGCAGATTCAAACAATGGTTATGCAAAATTCTTTTCTTAACCGGGTCAAGGTTTGAAATCTCTCAAAAAAAATAATTTTAAAAATAGATTTACTCTCATTGTATGACCTATTAAAAAATTCTATAGACATTTTTCGATCTAAATTTGTTTAATTTTGGTTTTCACTATATAAATTTTGAATATAACAAGTTTTATTTCGTATAATAGCTTCGTTAAATTTTAATTAATTACCTATTCCGACATCTAAAGTGTATAAAAATTTTTAAATGCTAGTTACAAAAAGTATTATAAGAGTTAAAGAGCCCAGGTTCAGCATCATTTATTATGTAACAACGAAATTTGTATATAATCTTTTATTTATTTATTAAAAATGTATCAAAGAAATTTAAAATTTCATCATATAGGACAGTATTTCAAGATTATTCTGATGACAACTGTTTCAATTGATTAATAACTATTCTTGGATCGATGATATAAAATTTTAGAACATTTATAAAACCAAATAAAACAAATTGTTTATTACTTAAGAGAATTTCATATATAAATAAAATGATACATATGTTACAATATCACGAATGAATAAACAATATAAACAATATATCAAAAATAAATTTATATAATCATAAAATACAACATGATAACTAATATAAATTTCATAAAATACTAATTTAACCTGCAAAATAATAAGTTTTTTTATTTAACTAGAAAGAGGATAGACTTTTCATTGATCTAAATCCGGAAAGTTTAGATAATGTTGGTTTACAACCCAAACAAATTACTATCGTGGCTGTTTTAAAAGATGGAGGTCAGATAAGTCTTGAAGATGCTGGTTTGGTATCTGCTGAT